CACACCCAGCAGTTTCACATGATTTAAGATAAGGTTGGGTATGAAAGTCATTAAACAGTAGTTTGGGCCCAGGTGCAGTGGTGAACATCTGTAATCCCAGAGGATCAGGAGGCTGAGTCAGGAGGATCACAAGTTTGGGGCCAACCTCAGCAATTTAGAGAGGCCCTAAGCAACTCAGCAAGACCCTGTCCCCAAATGAAAACTAAAAAGGGCTGGGGATGTAGCTCAGTAGTAAAGCGCCCCTGGTTTCAATCCTTGGTACCAAAACTAAATAAATAAATAAATAAGGAAGTAAATGAAAATAACTAGGGATGTGGCAGAGTGGTTAAGCATTCTAGGTTTAATCCCTGGCACCAAAAAAAAAAAAAAAATACATGGAACTATATCTATAGAACTTTATCTTCCAGTTTTTCCCAACCATAACACTTAAATCACCCTCCAAGAATTCCCAACCACACCCTAAACTGCCCTCCCATGGCCCCCAATGCTACCTGTAAACATCCACAATTTACCTTGCCACAGCCTCCCAACTAAACTCCAAACCACCCTCCATTGACCTCACATCCCTTCAATGGCTTTAGTTGTACCCAAATACTTTCCAATGGTTCTGCTATAGCTAATTACCACAAACTTGGTGGCTTTAAACAAGAGAAGTTTATTCTTTTACAGTTCTGGGAAAGTTCCAAATCAGTTTAACTAGGACTACAATTAAGGTGTCACCAGAGATGTACTCTCTTTGCCTCTTGCAGTTTCTGGTAGCTGCTAGCATTCCTTGGCTTGTGGCCACATAACCATAATCTGCCTTGATGGTCACATTGCTTTATTTTCTATCAGTAAAATCTGTTTCTTCCTACCTTCTATAGAACACTTGTGGGGCTGGGGATATGGCTCAAGCGGTAATGCGCTCGCCTGGCATGTGTGGGGCGCTAGGTTCAATCCTCAGCACCACATAAAAATAAAATAAAGATGTTGTGTCCACCAAAAACTAAAAAATAAATTTAAAAAAAGAACACTTGTGATTGCAATTAGAATTTATACCCATTTTGATATCCTTTTTTTCCTTTTTTTTAAAGAGAGAATGAGAGAGGGAGAGAGAATTTTTAGTATTTTTTTTTTTAGTTATTGGCGGACACAACATCTTTGTTGGTATGTAGTGCTGAGGATCGAACCCGGGCAGCACGCATGCCAGGCGAGCGCGCTACCGCCTGAGCCACATTCCCAGCCCTTGATATCCTTAATTTAGAAGCTGAGCATGGTGGTACATGCTTGCAATTCCAGCTACTCAGGAGGCTCATGCAGGAGGATTGCTTGAGTCAGAGGCCAGCCTGGGGAAAATAGTGAGAACCTGTCAAAAAAAAAGCAAAAAAAATGCACCTGTGCACTATGGTGCACACCTATAATCCCAGCCACTCAGGAGGTTGAGGCAGGAGGCTCACAAGTTCAAGACCAGCCTAGGAAATATAGCAAAACCTTGTCTCAAAACAAAATAAAATAAAACATCTGTGCTGATGTGGTGGCACTCACCTATAATCCCAGTGACTCAGGAGGCTGAAGCAGGAGAATTACAAGTTCAAAGCCAGCCTCAGCAACTTAGCAAGGCCCTAAGCAATTTAACAAGACCCTCTCTCAAAATAAAACATATACGGGGCCCCAGGTTCAATATGCGGTACCAAAAAAAAAAAAAAAAGGCTGGGGATATAGCTCAATGATAGAGTGCTTAGAGAGCTTGGCAGGCATGTGTGAGGCCCTAAGTTCCATCCCCAGCACTAAAAAAATATCCTTATCTTAATCATATCTACAAAGTCCTTTTCCATTCAAGTAACATTCAGAGGTTCCAGGGATTAGGATGTGGATATCTTTGGAAGGGACATTATTTAGTCTACCACACCATTCTATGGCAATTAACAGCTCTACTCTTTAACTACCTTGCAACTCTGTCCCTAAACACCCACTATCTTCTGATAGACCCCTAAACCATCCTTTTTCCCCAAAGAAAACAAGATAGCATCTCAAATCATCTTCTTTTTTTAAGAGAGAGAGAGAGAGAAAAAATTTTTTAATATTTATTTTTTAGTTCTCAGCGAACACAACATCTTTGTTGGTATGTGGTGCTGAGGATTGAACCTGGGCCGAACGCATGCCAGGCGAGCGCACTACCGCTTGAGCCACATCCCCAGCCCCTCAAATCATCTTCTAACCTCATAATTGTATTAATGATCCACCCTCCACTAACTCCTACTAACATACTCAAATTGTCTCCTAACCGCCCCATTCCTCCAAAGTCCTTCAATTGCAACTTAGTGAGACATTGAATTTAAAAAAAACAATAAAAAGGGCTGGGGATGTAGCTCAGTGATAAAGCACCTCTGGGTTTAATAAAATGGGCTGGGGATGTAGCTCAGGGATAAAGCACCTCTGGGTTCAATCACTAGTAGCCACCCCCCCCAAATAATAAAAAGGGTTAGTTGGGGTTGTAGCTCAGTAGTACAGTGATTGCCTAGCAGGTGTAAGGCACTGGGTTGGATTCTCAGTGCCACATATAAGTAAATAAATAAATATAAAGGTCCACTGACAACTGAAAACTATATCAATAAAAGGGTTAGGGATGTAACTCAGTGTTCACCTATCATGTGCAAGACCTTGGGTTCTAACCCTGGTACTGCGAAGAAGAAGAAGAAGAAGAAGAAGGAGAAGGAGAAGGAGAAGAAGAAGGAGGAGGAGGAGGAGGAGG